CTCTGGTATTTGTCCTTCTCTGACTCATTTCACTCAGCATAACACCGTCTAGCTCCATCCACATCCTTGCAAATGTCAAGATCTCATTCTTTTTTGAAGCCCGAGTAACAGTCCACTGCATATGCTTCTACTACCTTCTCTTTGTCCGTTCATCTCTCGGGGGACACTTGGGCTCTCTCCGTAGTTTGGCTGTTGTTGATAGTGTTGCTATAAACCCTGGGGTGCAGGTGCCTCTTCAGGTCAGTATCTTTGTATCTTTTGGATAAATACCTAGTAGTCCAGCTGCTGGGTTGTAGGGTAGCCCTATTTTGAACCTTTTGAGGACCCTCCATCCTGTTCCCCACAGTGGCTGCACCAGTTTGCATTCCCATTAACCACTAGTGGATGAGGGTTCCCTTTCCTCCACCTCCCTGCCAACACCTGTGGTTGATTTTAGCCGTCTGACAGGTGTGGGGTGATACCACCTGGTGGCTTCTTTGGCATTTCCCTGATGATGAGTGACATTGAGCATCTATTCATGTGTCTGTTGGCCATCTGTATGTCTTATTTGAAAAAATGTCTATTCACATCCTCTGCCAATTCTTAATTAGATTATTTGGGGTTTTTTGGGTATTGAGTTATAGAAATTCTTTATGTATTTGAATACTAATCCTTTATCAGTTATGTTATTTGCAAATACCTTCTTCTGTTCACTAGGCTGCTTTTTGCTTTATGATTTCCTTTGCTGTGCAAAACCTTTTTATTTTAGTGTAGTCTCAATAGTATGGTTTTGCCTTCGTTTCCCTTGCCATCTGTATGAGAGGTTTTTTTTTTTTCCTAAGGATGAATACTATTCTGTGTGTATATACGTGTATGCCATGTTTTGTTTATCAATCCATCAGTGGACACTTGGGCTATTCACCTTTCAGCTCCTGTGAATAATGCTGCTGTGATTTGCTGTATGAATGTGTTTGCATTATTACTTCCCGTTCTTTCGAGTGTATACCCAGAAGTAGAATCATCGAATCCTATGGCAGCTCTATTTTTATTTACTTTTCTTATATAAATGCCATACCGTGTTTCGTGATATCTATACTATTTGATACCTTGAACATAAGTGTGTGACAGTTTCAATTTTTCTACATCCAACCAATACGTTAGAGAAGGAATAATTGAAGGTAAAAGAATTATTATATTTTTACTTTTTACTTATTATTTTTCATCAATCTTGTAAGAGTATTTTTTAAATTTTTTTTTATTGGAGCTCGATTTGCCAACATATAGTATAACACCCAGTGCTCAATGATAATGGCAACACCGTATCCAGCTGCTGTGACTTATGGCTAAGGGACATGAATGGTGGTGGAGAAATTGAGAATATTCTGTTATTAAGATACTTCCAGTTTATTGTTATTCAAAAGTGGACTTGGAACAGTCGTAAATGTATATTGTGGCCTCTAGAACAACGAACAAAGAAATGTAAAGATTTTATTTATTTGAGTGAGAGACGGGGATCGGGGGGAGGAGCAGTGGGAGAGGGAGAGAGAAACTCAGGAAGACCCTGCTGCGTGTAGAGCCTGACGGGAAGCTCGATCTCATGACCCTGACATCACGACCTGAGCCAGAATCAAGAATCGGAAGTTCAACCGACTGAGCCACCCAGGCACCCTAACAACAAAAAAATTTAAAAAGAAGTACAAATATATTCTAGAAATGGAGGGAAAATGAAATCGTATAAAATGCTCAACTAAAACCAGATAAGGCAGAAAAAGAGAGAGAAACAAGGGCAACGAATAGAAAATCATTACAAATACAGCAGATATAATCCAAGTGTATCAAGTATCAGTTTAAATGAAATGGTGTAAATATAACTGGTGAAACATCACCAATTGAAAGGCAGAAACTCCCAGAGTGGATAAAGAAACAGGATCCAGCTCTGTGTGTGTGTGTGTGTTTTAAGATTTTATTTATTTATTCATGAGAGACAGAGAGAGAGAGAGAGAGAGAGGCAGAGGGAGAAGCAGGCTCCATGCACGGAGCCCAACGTGGGACTCGATCCCGGGACCTGGCGTCACGCCCTGGGCCGAAGGTGGCACTAAACGGCTGAGCCACCAGAGCTGCCCTAGCTCTGTGTCTTTTGAAAGAATCCCACTTATTAAAAATAAATTTTATTTATTTATTTTTAAGTAGGCTCCACACCCAGCTTGGAGCCCAATGTGGGGTTTGAACCCGGCACCCTGAGATCAAGCCTGGAGCTGAGATCACGAGGTGGATGCCCAGCGCGCTTCGCCACCAGGTGCCCCAGAATCCCACTTTAAATGTAAAGACCCGGATAGATCAAATGTAACGGCGAAAAGAAAGATACATGGTGCTGACATTCATCAAAAGAAAGCTCGAGTAGCCACGATAATTGAGACAGAGCAGACTTTGGGGCAAAAAGAATAAAATCGTTAGGAATGAAGTGGGACATTGCATAGGGAGAGAGGAGCCAGTTCTGCCCAAGGATGTAGCAGCCCCTAAAGTGTGTAAAGCCCAGCGGGGCGTGCGGGATCCCTGGGGAGAGCCGGTGGAGCCGAAGGGGAGAAGGCGCCTCCAGGGCTGCAGTGGGAGACGTCGCTCCCCTTCCAGGAGCGGACACATCCCACGGGGGGCGGGCGGGCAGGTGTCGCTGAACCAAGCAGCTATTGGTCAACTGGATCGGATGGATATTTATAGGATTTTTTTTTAAAGATTTTATGTATTTATTCGAGAGAGAGACTGACAGACCCCATGCGGGGTGGGGGGAGCAGAGGGAGAAGCAGAGGCCCCGCAGAGCAGGGAGCCTGACGTGGGCCTCGATCCCACGACCCCAGGATCATGACCTGAGCTGAAGGCAACGCTCAACGCAGGTGCCCCCAGACGGGGCATAGAAGGGTCCCGGGGCGAGGCCAGGTTCTCCTTGATGCTGTTGACACACGATGCGAAGACCCTGACGTACGTGTCACCGGTGAGCCCTGATGGGCGGTGAGGGCTTGAGTGACGGTCCCCACGCGGATGCACGGCCGAGCCGGATGGTCCCGGGGAGCCGCTGCAGGGGAGCCCAGCTGGGGTTCCTGCAGACCAGGTGCTGCGCTGCAGCTGGGTCCCTATTAACGCGAGCCGACCGCCCCCCGTCCTTTCTTCCGCGGCTCCCTCTCTCTGCCTCACGGCCCCAGAATGCAAAAAAGAGGAAACCGTGGGAGACGCCGAGCGCGCGGCACAGTGGTCGGCACCGGCCGTTCCGCTTGCTCGGGGGCCGTGGGGACACGTGGCCTTGTTTTGCCGGCTCTGAAACACCGGTGGGGGTCCCCAAACGTGACTCTGTGCACATGGCTGGCGGGGGACGGAAGTGGAAACGGGCGCAGACCCGAGCCGCGGCGCGCGTGGACCTCGACGGCGAGCCCAGACACCGAGCCGCTGCCGTCGTCCCCTGGATCGTCCAGCTCTGCGGGCGCCCGGGGCGGGCAAGTCCACGGGGGCGGGCCTGGGCCCGTGACCGGTTTCTGGGTGCGGGGCCTTGGGGCGGCTTGGGTGGCAGTGACGGCGCAGCACCTGGCATGTCCTCGGAGCCGCCGGGTCTCACCCAAACGATTCCTTCTGTGTCGTGTGCATTTTACCGCCGTGGAAAATAGCAGAGTAGGAAAAACGAGAGAAAGCAAAACTCGTCGAGTGACGCTTCTCCAGAGGCCGAGGTTCAAAACGAAGCCGGAGACTCCAGGCCTGCGGCGGCCGTGTGCACCGATTCTTGTTTCTCAGTTTCTAGGACTGCGAGTGTCTTGTCTTCCTTAGGATTTTCTTCGGAGCCTCTTATTTTCTCTAGTTTAAGGACGCGGGATAAACTCCGCGCAGCACACAGAGCACGCGTCGATCCGAGGCTTCCTGTCGATACCCGGCCACGGCGCTTCAGCTTGGGGGCGCCCACAGTGACACGTGGGGTTTCTGCGGCTCGGGGTCAGCGTCCCTAACACCCCGTGTTGCCCAGCGTCAACTGTATGTTATTAATTCACAAAATTCTGATGTTCAGGGTAAAGTTGCCGAGAAAGCCTCCCACTGATACCTGTCGTTTAAAGTCTCTTAAAATCCACCAATGGAGAAAATTCCGGAATGTGGCCAAACTAAAAAAAAAAAAAAAAAAAAAAAAAAAAAAGGAAAAAAAAGAAGAAGAACGAAAAAAGAAAAAGAAAAAAAATTCCACAGATCGGCAAAAGTCAGGCTGGAAGCAGCTGTTTGCTACAGGAAGTAGAGAGGAAGGAGTTGGAGGGTGTGAGGTTCGCAAGAAGCAGAGAAAACGAAGCAAGGTTTGCAACGAAAAATTACGCAAAGCCGGGTTTTCTTGTGTCGTTTCCTTGTTCCCAGGCGCTTACGCCACTTTAATTAAAAATATTAATAGTCATCGAATGAGTGGAACGCCTTCCCTTTTTGGGAGATCCCAATAGTAGCACCTGTAGCAATAATGATTTCTCAAAAATGACTTTTTTTTTGTTTTCATTCAGGAAATAGACCTTTTCCTGTGTGGAATGCTTTTAGGCTTTACAGTCAATATGAGTTTTTTTTTTTTTTTTTAAGATTTTATTTACTTAGAGAGCGAGAGAGTGAGCGTGTGTGTGCACAGGGCGGACGGGGGGAGGGCAGTTCCCCGCGGAGCAGGGGCCAACATGGGCTCGGCCCCAGGGTCAGGGGTGGAGGTCACTGAGCCGTGACCGTGAGTCTTCGTTTCAGGAGACGTTTCCGGATGTTCAGCGGGAGGCTGCGTCCGGCGCCAGGAGCGTGGGCTTCTTAAAGGCCTGACCGGGGGGCGCTCGGGCCCGTGTCCGCGACCCCGAGTGCCACTGGAGGCCGAGCCTGGGCCACCACCCAGGCGCCCTGTGTGGGTGTCCCGCTGGCCCAGACGCCGGGTAGCGGCTCCCCGCGGGGCCATCCGAGCTCCTGGCGGGCCGGGCCGGGTGCGGGAGGGGCCGGGCCGCGGAGCCGGGTTTGGACGGCGCGGCCGTGTGTGTTGGCAGAGAGCTGCTGGACCTGGGCGCGGCGGGCGCGGTGGGGCTCCGCATCGGCTACTGCCCGCAGCAGGACGCCCTGGACGAGCTGCTGACCGGCTGGGAGCACCTGGACTACTACTGCCGCCTCCGCGGGGTGCCCAGCCCGAGCATCCCCCAGGTAAGGCGCCCTGGGCCCCTGCAGGTGCAGCGCGCTCTGCGGCCCCCGGACCAGGAGCCCCTCGCGCCTGAACCTGAACCCCGGCCCCTCTGATCACAGGGAACTGGGGTGTCTTGGGCTCGGTCACGAGCCGAGCGCCTCGGCCTCTTGGGGGAGGCTGACGTTCGCGGGCTCGTCTGGTCTCTGTGCACCTCTCCCCCTCAGGGGCCCTTCTATTCGGGAGCAAACATCATGCCCCTCCTCCGTAAGGGCCGCGGCCGAGGCGCGGGGCGGGCTGCTGGAAGGAGGCCCTCCTGGGGACTGGGTGGCCCCTGCCCTGCCGCCCGGCCCGGGCCCCAGAGGATGCAGACGCGCTCGGCCTCTGCGCGTCCTGGTGCTCCCTCCCGGTGCTCCCTCTGTAAGTCGGGCCCTCGGGCTGCGGGGCCGGCCGTCACCCCACTACCCTGGGTCCGCTCATCCCGGCCGGGCGGCTGTGGGAGCCCGACGCCGATCGGAGCCCACGTTCGAGGGCCGTCTGTCCCCATCAGCCCTGCCTCGTCCGGATGAAGGAGGCTTGAGGTCGGCAGGGCTTCAGCGCCCCGCGCCCCGCAGAGTCCCACTGCAGGGCCAGCCCGGCACCCCCGGCCTCTGGGCGCAGGCTGGGTCGGGGAACCCTCCCGGAGTTTGTGGTAACGCTGCCGGATGGGAGGCCTGGCTCCGGGAACACAAGCAACCCTGAAGTCGGCTGGGTCGGGGCCTCGCGCTGTCGGCGCACGAGGTGGGTCCTCGGGCCCTTCGTGTCACCTCGAGGCCGCGCGGTAAAGCTGCAGAGCGGTTCCTGTTGGGGCGGAAACGTCACGCCGGTACTTCCAGACGTTGTGGACGTTTCCTCGTCGTTGTCCTTATTAGGATTGTCCCGACTTGTACGGGTTTATTCAATCAAGTGTGAATATTAGTTCATACAGTTTAAATGTATTTATATTTTGTTATTTTATTTTTTTCCCTTTGCCTTACATTTTGTTAGTTCCTCAGGGCACTGACTTTTCCCTGCTTCTCCTAAATTTGAGTTAAGACACGATCTTGGCCAGTTTGATTGTATGATGAGATCCACACGGACAAGACAGAGCCGGGTCCGTGTCTCTACGGTCGTGAGGGTCCAGTTTGACCCTTTAGTCAGAGGTTTAAGCTGCGGGGAGGGAGCGGGAAACCCACTGGTGCTCGGCGTCAGCCCCCGAGGTCTGCATGGGGTCGGGGGGACGGGCCGGGAACGAGCCAAACGTATGGGGCAGGAATCATGCCGGGTGTGGAGCAGAGGGGCTGCGTGGACCCCGGACGGCCACTGGGGGGAGGGGGCGCGGATAGACGCCCACCGGCTGGGCCCCGGGCGCTCGGCGCAGGGCAGGCGAAGGGGGAGCCGGGGAGGGGAGAGGAGGCGCGAGAGCGTGCAGGTGCGGGGCCAGGACCTTAGCCCAAGGTGCTGCGCCCCCCCCCCATCCTCAAGGCTGTGTGAGCCGCTTCCCAGCCACAGCCCGAGGGAAGCTCCGTCTCAGTCGCCCCCTTCCCGAGCCCAGCGGCTCCTTCCTGGAAACGGGGCATTTCCTGCCCATGTGACTCTCGAGGACCCTCGTCCCAAGTCTCTGCGCCCCAAAGTCCCAGTGGGCCCGCCCATGTGGCTGTGCATCCAGACCCTGGCTGGCCGGGTCTCCGCCCTTGCACCCCCTGCACCCCCTGTGCCCCCCTGTGCCCCGGGCGGGGTCCTCGGCCCACACGGAGATGCCCACAGGCGCCATCCTGTACCGGGCAGGGGTGAAGGGGCGGGCGGGGGTGAAGGGGGCTGCAGGGCCGAGAGCCGGCCCGGGCCCGGTGAGGGCTGCCTTCACGGGCGGCGCCTGTCTTGCAGGTGGCCGGGGACCTCGTGGAGCGTCTAGGCCTGGAAGCCCACGTGCACCAGCTGGTGGCCACGTACAGTGGGGGCACCAGGCGGAAGCTGTCGACGGCCTTGGCCCTGCTGGGCGCACCTGACCTGCTCCTCCTGGTGAGTCCTGGGGACGGGGGGCCACGGCCTCTGGGCGCCGCCACCTGGGACGCGGCCGAGCTCGCGGAGCCCCCCGGGAGGAGAGCCCGTCTGCACTGTTGGTTCCCTGAACTGAGGAACTTCCTGCGCCGAGGTGACAGTTCCCGAACAGAATCCAAAAAAGCATTGGGGTTTTACAGAAATCTTAAAAAAGATCATCCTTTTTTTTTTTAATTAAGATTTTATCTATTCATGAGACACAGAGAGAGGCAGAGACACAGGCAGAGGGAGAAGCAGGCTCCCTGCAGGGAGCCTGACGTGGGACTCGATCCCGGGGCCCCGGGGTCATGACCCCAGCCAAGGGCAGATGCTCAACCGCTGAGCCCCCCGGGCGTCCCCAAAACAATGATCCTGGGTCGAGTCCCTGTTACGTGCGTCACTGAAGGTCCGACACAAGTCCACCGTTAGCGGCAGCCGTGCGGGACCCACCGCTAATCCGGGCCAGACATCCGCCCGCTGTCTCTGCGTCCCGCCCGCCCTCGGGGGACTCCTGGTGGGCGTGTCGGGGAGCGCGGGCCCTTGACCGGCACGGTGGGGGGTGCATGGGTGCCGCGGCTTTGGGCCAGGCTGCCCGAGACCTGCCTGGGAGCTGGCGGTAATCCAGGTTGGCCGGATGAAAGCATCAGCTGGTGACGGCGGGCCCAGAAATAGAGCCGGCGGCTGGCATTTGAAGCGTGGCTCCAGGTCCCCCCTCCCGACGAGGCGCAGAGGGCGCTCGGGGGCCCGCAGGCGGGACACGAGCCGCACGTCCGCGCTCGCTGGGCACTGCGTGAGCACGGCTCCCGTTACTGTTGTAGCTGTGCACGGACCTCGCCCGGGTTGCAGAAGAGCACAGCTGTGCTTTGCGGCCCGGGGCCATTTTTGGGGGTGCACTTTCTCTTTCTTGCTGACCCTGAGCTCTTAAGAGAAATGCGTTTAGTTCTCCCCGACGGCAAACAGCACAGACATGCATCTCGCCGCCCAGAACCCGTTTCTCTCAAAGGTGGTTCAGTAAGTGCAGGGGTCGGGTGTTTATTGGAGGAGAGAGCCCCAGGTTGCACGAAACCCCACTTCACCTGCTGGCGCTACACGGGGGACGCCGTTTCCGCTCCTGCGTGTCTTTCTGAAGCTCCGTGGGTGGTGGCCGCCCTGCCGCACCCCGAGGGGAGCTCGGGCACGTGCTGAGCCGGGGTCCCGCCCGCCCCCGCGTGTCCCGAGGCGCCCCCCGCAGCCCTCACCTGTGCCCTCTCCCGCAGGACGAGCCCAGCTCCGGGATGGACCCTTGCTCCAAGCGGCACCTGTGGCGGACGATCACGCAGGAGGCTCGGAGGGGCTGTGCGGTGGTGCTGACCTCCCACAGGTGAGCCGCAGGCTGGCACCGAGCCACTGGCATGGCTGGGGGGGGGAGCGAGGGCTGCAGGGCAGCCGGGCCAGAGCCCGCGGCCCACGCCATCCGTCGTCGTCGGGACACCGCTGCGGCCGAGGGAGGTGGCCATGAGCAGCCCAGCGCCCCACACGTCCGTGCCTCTCTGCCCAACATCATCTTTTTATTTTTAAGATTCACCTATTTTTATCTTAGAAAAGGCGAACGGTCACATGGGCGGGGAGGGGCAGGGGGAGAAGCGGACTGCGCTGAACGGGGAGCCCGACGGGGAACTCGCAGCTGCGCTGTTTCCCGTTAGAGGGCGGCCGGAGGTAATCCTGATGTCGCTCCTGCCCGTGGCTCGCAGGATTCCCCTTTGGCTTTCACGGTTGAACGTTGCCGTGTCCCCGCGTGGATCTCGTTGTTCATCCCCCCGCCCCCGCTCGCGTCCATTGTGCTTCTTGAATACGTAGGTTAATGTTTTTCGATAGACGCAGGGAAGTTTTGGCAGGTGGTCATTCCAGTATCTTTTCTGGATCTTTCTATCTTTCCTTTCCTATCGCTGGTACTTTCTGTAAGTATGACGGTGTCCCACAGCTCTATGGGTGTCTGTCCATTTCTTTTATTTTTTTATTTTAAAAAATATTTATTTATTCACGAGAGACACACACAAAGAGAGAGGGAGAGACACAGGCAGAGGGAGAAGCAGGCTCCATGCCGGGAGCCCGATGCAGGACTCGATCCCGGGACCCCGGGGTCACGCCCTGGGCCGCAGGCAGGTGCTCAACCGCTGAGCCACCCAGGGATCCCCCTGTCCATTTCTTTTAAATACTTTTCTCTGTTTTCAGATTGCATAATCTTGATTGATCGATCTTCAAGTTCACTGATGCTTTCTTCTGCTACTCAGATTTTGCTGTTGGCCCTGTAGTGAAATTTTCATTCCATTTATCATACGCTTCTCCTAAAAACATTCCATTTGGTCCTTTTTTTAAAAAAAAAAAAAGTTTATTAAAACAGCTGGGTGGCTCAGCAATTGAGCATCTGCCTTTGGCTGAGGACAAGATTCCAGGGTCCAGGATCGAATCCCACATCGGGTTCCCCGCATGGAGCCTGGTTCTCCCTCTGCCTGTGTCTCTGCCTCTCTCTGTGTGTCTCTGAGGAATAAATAAATAAAATCTTAAAAAATAAAGTTTGATTATTTTTAGTGGGAGGTAGAGGGACAGAGAGAGAGAGGCAATCTCAAGCAGACTCCCTGCTGAGCACAGAACCCGATGTAGGGCTCGAGCCCACGACCCTGAGATCATGACCTGAGCTGAAATCAAGAGTCAGATGCTCAACTGGCTGAGCCCCCCAAGGTGCCCCGTTTGTTCCTTTTTAAAAAAGAAATAGTCTCAGTCTACTTTAGGATCTCTATTTGTTGATCATCGTCATTTTTCTAAAAAATTCTTTGAACATCATTCCCTTTAGTGCCTTGTACATACGTAGAGTGGCTTCACTTGAAGGTTCTTTTCTGCTAAAGGTAGCATTTAGGGACACTTAGGATCAGGTTCTGCTGGCTGTTTTTCCCCCTGCGTATCGGTAATAATTTCTAGTTTATTATGCAGGTTATAATTTCTGGTCAAAAACTGGACATTTCACGATATTTATTTATTTATTTTTAAATTTTTTATTTATTCATGAGAGACACACACAGAGAGAGGCAGAGACACAGGCAGAGGGAGCAGCAGGCTCCATGCAGGGAGCCCAACGCAGGACTCGATCCCGGGTCTCCAGGATCACGCCCTGGGCCGAAGGCGGCGCTAAACCTCTGGGCCACCCGGGCTGCCCTATTTTGCGATATTTAATGAATTGTAGCATCTCTGGCTTTTGATTCCTCCCCTTCCCTCAAAGTCGCCGTTATGGCTGTTTGTTTTGGTGTTTTTGATTTGTCTGTTCCTCTTGTGTGTCCGTGTGTCAGGGTTTCTTTGCCTCCATGAATCTGCGAAATCTCTTTCCCCTGCAGCGAGTGACTCCTGATCCCTCCGTTCAGTTTGTAGATTAAATTCCGTGCTCATTTTCTGAAGCCCGGATTCCCTGGAGCCCCCTCCCGCCCCGGGTTTTACACGGGCAGAGGCTGCCCTCAGCGACCTCAGGGCCGCGGGGCTGTGTGCGCGCCGGGGAGGAGAGTGCCCGGCCAGGCCTCCTCCAGGTGGCCCGGTTTTGTGTTGTCCTGGTTCTGCTGGCCTCTGGCACGTGCACGTGGCGCGTGTGGCTGGCGTGGCCCCTCCCTGACTCTGCTGCGCGTCCCTGCAGCCCCAGTGAGTGCCGTGCGTGCCCCAGCCAGCCGGCGCCGGGCCCCGGAGCCCACCTCGGGCTGGACGCTGGCGCTGCTGGCCCTTCCTGGCCGCCGGGCTCCACCAAGCTCCTGCTGCTGACGCTGTCGCCGTCCGGGCACGACGAGAGGTCCAGACGCGGACGCAGAGCGCAGAGCCCCCGGGGTCAGGCCCACCCGCTGTGGCTGCGTGTTGCGAGGCCAGTCGTGGATCACCGGTCTCCTCACCCGCTGTGTTTCTCAGGGCGTCGCACGCCGTTGGCCAGTTTCCAGAATTCTGAAACGGTTGCTTTTATTCATTTTGCTCTGTTTTATACGTGTCTTTTTTTGGGGAAAAGATTTGCCATTTTTTTTTTCATTCAGCCACAGCCAGAAGTCCTGCCCTTGTCTTTTTGTGTTTGTTCTGTTTCTCTTCAGAAAATTAAATTTTACATCGACACGATATATATTTGGCAAATCCTCTGCCTTATAATATATATACTTTTTTTTTTTTTTTTTTTTTTGGCTTAAAGCGATCTCTTGGCCGAGCCGATTGCAGAAACTCCCTGCGTTCCTGTGTTCATTACGCTGGCATTTGTTAGGTTCTCATGTTCGTAGGTCGGTTCTACGATCGGATAAACTGGTGTCACATTAAAAATGCCTTTTAAATTCCACCGAGCACGTAATTATTGCAGACAGTTCTCAGAAAGACCACATGTCACCATAATTATGTCCTCTTATTCGTACGGCCTCACGTTGATGAGGTGCCTTCATTTTTTTTTTGTGCCTTCATTTCTATAAATCTGTCCATATTCATGCAATGCAAAGGTGTAAATGACTCACGATTAATGAAGAGCAGGGCAGCCGGGGATTGAGTCTGTGATTCTGAGACAGCTGCCTTCAGCTGAAAACTATCCAGGTGGCACAGTTTCCTCTTAGTTTTGAGTTCCCGTCTCTGTTCCTCTTACTGTTGCTTTCCTGGAGGACCACGTAGAAATGTGAGGTTCCCACCTGTTTCCCACTGTGCCCTCCAAGAGGAATTGAAATAAAATGAGTCCATCCGGGGCACCTGGGGGTCTGACTCCTGATTCCAGCTCAGGTCATGATCTCAGGGTTGTGAGATCGAGCCCCGTGTCGGGATCTGCACTCAGTATGGAATCTGCTTGTGTCTCACGTCTGCCTCTCCCCCTGCTCGTTCTCTCTCTCTCTCTCTCTCTCTGTCTCAAATAAATAAGTAAATAAAATCTTAAAAAAAAAAAAAAACAGAAGCGAGTCCATCCCCATCCAAGAATCGTAAAATCTTAAAAAACAAACAAACAAAAAAGTGAGTCCATCCAAGAATGATGGGGAGTCTTTTTGCTCACCCGCCCGCCCGCCGAGCCCTGACCTGTATGTCCCATTATAAGCCCTGAAGCCGTCCCGCCGTTCGGCCAGAGTGCCGTTCCGGCCAGCGTGATCATCACCCCGAGGACGTGCGGCGTTCGTTTTCCGCGTACACGGGCAGAGGCTATTTTCGCTGATAATCGAACCCCCGGCATTTGGTCGGGATCTCACATTCCGGCCCCCCGTGCTGAGCGGCTCTGGTATCCCACCTGTAGTTTGGATCTTGTTCGTTTGACGGCTAATAAGAAATCAGTGGAAACTACGGAGTCATTACGGAGGTCGGTGCTTCTACGGATCCGCACTCACCTCAGCTGCTTAAGGATGTGACCCAGAGATGGCTTCAGCATCCCCTGCTTTAATCACGCTCGTAAAAATGGAATAAGATTGTTTTAAACTGAAATCGATTAAACAAACAGAGGAAGACGTGTTTTCACGGGAAGACCCGTAAGGCATGTTTGGGACGTGGATAGCGGGTATTCCTCAGTCCGCGTTAAGCTGCTGTAACAAAGATCCCCGACTACAGTGACTCAGACCAGACAAGCTTCCTCTTCCACACGGACTCTTCACGCTGGCGGGCTGTGCCAGAGCTCAGGTCATCCAAGGCCTCGGGGTCTTCCCTCCATGCCTCTTACTCACCTGTGGGTTTGGCCCCATCTTCATGGTTGAAATTCACTTTCTGGTCCAGCTCATGGACGGTGGAAGGAACCTACACCCTACACGGGCGTCTGCGGCGAGCTGCGCGGGCGGCGAGCAGGGTACCCTCGATCTGGACAGGCTGCGACCGAGCACGCGACTGCTTTATGTCCATTCCCTGGTAGTACAGACCCTGCATGTTCCCACAGGTGATAGTATAACGAGGCGGAAGAAGAAAACACTTTCCACCCTTCACCTCACTTTTTCAAGTATCGTGAAAATCATACCTTTTTGTGTGTTTTTCTTTCCTAGTTTTTTCCATGTACGTGTACATTTTTTCTAACATGACTGCCACTTTATCATTGCTGTATCACTACTTTTTACATTGAGTTTACAAAACCTCCTTTTCATGGCGAACACATGGATCCACTCCCGTTTATAGGAGTTTTGTATCATCCTATTGCAGGACCGATTTCTGGATTTTTACCGTTATAAGTAACTTGTCACATGCATTCATAAGTTCTGAATTTCCTAAGGTAAGTTCCTAGAAAAGAGGGAATCGTCAAATTGGGTTTTCAGAAAGTCATGCCGATTTTTCACTCCTACCGGCGGTATATGAGGGGCCCCTCCGAGGACCATGGAGAAGATGCTTTAACTTTTGGGGTAATTTTTATGATCTGAGAATTCGTTGTTTTAATCTGCCCTGCAGATGAGGGGGGAAAGTGCTTTCCTGTACAACGTACAAAAGTACACATGACAAATGCCTCTCTGGCTGGAAAATAGTTTTCTGATCACTTATTTGGTGGCTGAGCTTCTGAGCTGTTGGTATGCGGATTACCTGGGAGCGGGTCTTTGGAGTCTCTGTGTTTGCCCTTTTTCCTGGATCGCGTCTGCATCGTTCTGTTTTTACACTAACATGTATCTGCTCTTTATACTGAACGTATTAACCCTCTCGGGTTGCGTTTGTTGTCGTTTTTTTTTTTTTTTAAGGTTTATTTGCTGTGTGTTGACCCGTTTATTAGAAGTTTGTAGTTTTGCCTTGTCAGCTGCCAGACATTGTCGTAGTTTGTCTGTTGCCGTCCTACTGGGCGGGACGTTCGCCTCCTCCCAGCGCTTACCTGTTGGAAGCGCGACTATCCCCTTCCACGCGGTCTTGTCTGGGTCCAGCGATCTGCCTTCGAATTCCTTAGCGGGTAGCCTTCTTCCAATTATTTTAGCCTTAAACAAATGCTAATAGTTTCTGGGGCAAATTCTATGACTTTTCTTGTTTACGGTGTTTTCACCCTCTTAACTAAATAACTTTGAAGATATGCTCCATGATTTTGATTGGCATCAGACTATATCCTTATTATAATTCATGTTATTTTCCATATAATTATAATAATGCTATTCTAAGCTAGGACTCTTTATTACATATTTTATATCAAATTAATATTGCATATTATTGCCAACTAAATCACAGTTGCAAATTATAATGTCGTTTTTATATTTTATTTTATATATTATAGTAAAATCAAATTCATATTTGTATTTTATATGAAATTCACTGATTACATCTTGTATTTATATATCCTATTATATTTTACATGTACATTTATACTAACACTATTTTATATTGCAATGATTTTCATATTACAGTGATTTTCATATTATAATAATTATAACAATGTTATAACATATTTTCACATTATAACATTTCATTTTCATATAACAGTTATAATGTTATAATTTTATAAAAAAATTTATAATCATTATAATTTCATAATAATTTTATAATAATTTCATAACATAATTTTATAATAATTATATAATTTTATAATAAGTATATAATTTTAAAATAATTATATAATTTTATAATAATTATTTTATATAATTTTATAATAAGTATAAAATATAACAATTTTATATAATATAAATTTTATAATTTTATGATTATAATATACATAATTTTATAATTATTTATGATTTTATATAATTATAAGATATTTTGTAATCATTTTAATTTTATAATAATTATAAAATATTATAACAATTTTCTTTTTCTAAAATATATTCACTTTTTTCTTGGCAGATCTTTTTATTGATTCAAGATTTCATTTAGGTTCATTAGTAGATCTTATTGCTTTTATTTTTTCATAAAACTTCCACATTTCCTACGAAGGTCACTCGTATCTAGTTTATATTTTTGTACTGTCGCTAAAAGGTTCTGTCCTCATAACTGCTCCTCAGATATTGAGAGGCTGCTAAGTTTTCAGTTCATTGTGTCAGGGGCTATCTAAATAAAACATCCGTTTAAAAAATGCTTTTTGGAGGGTTTCTTGAGGTTTGTATATTAGATATTCAAGAATATAGAAAATTCACGAATTTGCCACGGTGTTTTTGTTGACCTGTTTGGTCCAAGCCTGATGTCCGCAGGACACAGCTCGCTCACGCGCCTCTCGTCCTCCCCGCAGCATGGAGGAGTGTGAGGCTCTTTGCACGAGACTTGCCATCATGGTCAACGGCAGCCTCCGGTGCCTTGGCTCTCCCCAGCACCTGAAAAACAGGTATGTCGCATGTGTGTTGCATGTATGTGGTGTGTGCATAGGTGTGTCCCATGCATGGTGCCTGTTGGACATATGCATGCCACATGTATGTCGCACGTGTATGCGGCGCACATATGCTGTGTGTATATACGTGTTGTGTGCATGTTGCATTGGTAGATGTATATCGTGCATACACGCGTGTTGTGTATAGACTGCATGTGCCCCTGTGTTGTGCGTGTGTGTCGTACGGATGTATCGTGCTCCATGTGTACATGTGCCGTGTGTATGTGTATGTTGCGTGTGTTTTACGTGTAAATGTATGTTGCGTGTCTGTTTCTTTCGGTCGAACTGTTTACTGTGGGTCCGTGCGTGCCGTAGCTCTACCTGCTGGTGCTCTAGAGCCAGCGTGGCCCGGTCCCCTCACTGCAGAGGAAGGGAGAAGGGGGCTGAGAAGGTGAGTGTGTTTGGGACGCACGTGGGGCCCCCCAGCCCCCACCACAGTCATGCTTCTTCCAGTAGGACATGCGCTCTCCTTGCGACAGTCCAGAGGGAGAGAGGACAAGAATGTCCCCGCTGATCCAGGATGCCTTCCCCAGCGCTTGTCAACCCTGTACCCCTCGTCCGGGGTGGATGGGGCCCTGGCACCGGAGGCTTGGCGTGGGGTCACACAGGTGCTGTGGTCGTCGGTTGTATTTGGACTAATAAGGACTAAAGATTTTCCCTGTGTGTCCTCATCCTTTACATTTCTTCCCTGTTAATTGTCTTTTTATGTCTTTTTCGAGTTTTGGGGATATTCATGATTTTTCTGTCAATTTCTACAAGCATGTTTGTGTCCCAGTATTGCGTTTTTTTGTAAAATTCTGTGTCATCTAAACTATTTTCACCCTTTCTGATTTCCTTTTAACTTGTTGGTTAATCTGTTGTTTCGGGTACAGAATAATTCATTAATACGTGTTGATAAATTGTTTTTTTTTCATTTATTTAGTGTTTTTGAAATTGGAATCTGCAGGCAGAGGTTTAACAGACCTATATGTTAGGTTGAAAGGTGTTTATTTCACGGGAGAAATGTTATCGGGTGCTTGGCTGGCTGCACGGGGCAGTGAACATCCGTCGTGCAGTGGCTCGGAGTCGGGGCTGCCGGGACAGCCAAGGCCGCTGCCGCTTGCCGCGCAGGGTCGGCCACTTGTCAGATCAACCTGCTGGAAACTTCTCAGTTTGTACTCCGCTCATCTTTGATAAGTATCATCAAAAGAAAAATAATACTTCACACTCCCTAACCTTTATGAACGCTCACATAAAGGTTTATAGCCCGTGCCTGATTGCTCGCTGATTTATGTGTGCGCCTCGCTGCCTGCCCCAGGGCTTGGCGAGCCGCCGGGGAGCCGCGGGGGAGCGGAGGCAGCCGTCCGCCAGGGTGCGGGCTGTGGGCCCCTGGTCTCACCCACTTCTGGCCTCCGTTCCCGGGACGCGGCGCAGGCGGCTTGTTAGTGACGCAGGGACTGTGGGATGACACGAAGCGAGAAGTGGCTGGTGGGTGATTCGCCGAGACACGGAACCCAACGCGTTGCAGAGCGTCCTTTGTGAACTTGGTGTTTTCCTGCAACAGCTGAGCTGATGATGAGTTTCGGTAATATGGGATGAACAGCGAGGGGCTCCTTGTGATGGGGACCCAGGAGTCCCCAGGAGTCCCTGGCCTCTGTGCCCGCTGCAGGTCCCTGCGGCTGAGGGGCTGCATGGACAGGACGGACCCCTCAGTGTGCACGGCCCTGGGCATGCTCGTCCTGGGGCTTTAAGCAGATGTGACATGCATGGCCCCGCTTCCAGCCCTGTTGTCCCCAGTGCAGGCCACGGGTTTGCCCCAGTGTCTGGTGGCATCTCTACCTGCTGGGACCCGGAGAGGTGACTCTGCAGGTCTCGGCTGTGCCTGCAGCGGGATCTGTGCATGCGTGCCTCAGTTTCCCAAACCCGCCTGGACCCCGCGGCCCCCTTGGGCCCTGTGGGTCCGTCCACCGGGGCCACGCTGCTCCTGAGGCACTGTCCGAGGGCCTTGCAGCCCGTCCTGCCGCCCGGAGACCCAGGGGCCCCCGGGAGGACTGACCCCCAGATCCTAAACTCACTCCGTTGTTAATGTGGCTCTTGCTTCCTTCTCCAGCTCCAGACCCTGTTAGAAGTTCCCAGGGTATCCGATGCCATAGCTGCACCTGAGTGTGCCCTGCATCCGACTGTACAATCGTATCATTATTTATTTATTTATTATTAATTAATTAATTAATTTATTTATATATTTTATTTTATTTATTTTTTATTTTATTTATTTTTCATTTTTAAATTTTTTAAAAAATTATTATTTATTTATTTTTCTTTTTTCATTTTTTGGATTATTTTAATTTTTTATATTTATTTTATTTTTTATATTTATTTATTTATTTATTTATTTACTTATTTATTTATTTTTTATGTATCATTTTTAAAATTTAAACTCCACCAACATTGTATCTGTCCTTTGGGGGCTCACACCTGCCACTCCTCCTCCTCTGCCTTTGTCTCTCTTTCTGAGAAGAGACTTTGCCTCTTTGCCGACGTCTGTCTTCTTCCCATTTGACAATCCCAGTCCCTCTGAGACCCTCATCCAGGGGATTCTTTTCCTGTCCTACCTTTGATCTTCTGCGCCCGTTACGAGCTAATCCATCTTTGTCACAGAATGTCGAACACCCACACGTTAGTGTGTCCGTTGACTGAAACGTGTTCGCTTTGTGTAATACACGTCCAAAGTACCGGTGGTTGGCACTGGTTCCGTGGCTCAAGGCTTCAGTCTTCTTGGTCCCAGAGTGGCAGCTGTAGCTCCGCCCATCACATCGTTGTTCCAGGCAACAAGCGAGAGGGAGCAGGGAGAGGGAGGACCACCTGCCCTGCCCCTGGGCTCAGTAGTGTCTGTAAGTCCCACCCAGATACGTGCCCTCGTGCCCTGTTAGACACCCTGGCTGCTGGAAGCCCGAGAAATGTAGGATTTATCTGGGCATTTTGCCACGTAAGTCAGGTCAGGTCTCTGTGGATGAGCAAGACAAGGCAGTGGATGTTGAGTGGGTGTCTCTGGTCTCTTGTTCTCCTGAGTCCTGTGCTCAGGGGAGGGTCGGTTGGACCCTGTTGTGTGACTGTCCTATGATACGGGGTAGACGATACAGCTTCAGTGTGAGCCATCACTGTGCATACACACGGATGGATGCGTGTGCGTGGATGGATGTGTGCGCACAGACGGATGTGTGTGCGTGTCCATGGACAGATGTGTGTGCCCATGGACGTATGTATGTGCACAAGGACAGATGCATGTGTGCGCGTGGACGGATGGGAGTGTGCATGGACGGATGTATGTGCACAAGGACAGATGCGTGTCTGCATGCATGGAAGGATGTGTGTGCGTGTCCATGGACAGATGTGTGTGCCCATGGACGTATGTATGTGCACAAGGACAGATGCATGTGTGCGTGCATGGACAGATGTGTGTGTGCACACGGACGGATGCGTGTGCATGTGCACAGGGGAGGCCGCCAGGCGGCCAAGACTGCCTGGTCCGTCCCTGGGGGCACGGACCCTCCGTCCCAGGGAACCGGGGAGGCTTTCCCGCATTCCGTCCCTGGCGCGGCTGGGGCGCATCCACGAGCCACCTGGAGGGAAGTGGCTGCACCTGCGTGGGGCACCTGTTGGCTCCCCTGCCCTGCACCCTCTGGCCCAGAAAGCCCGGGTCTCAGTGTAAGGGTCGTCCTGTTGGGGGGATACATGTCGCTTCCGCAGCCAAGAGTGTGAAATGCACGTGGCTCGTGTCTCGGCGGGGAGGGCGGAAGGGGTGTTGATGCTGAGCGCCCGTCCTCACGCTGGACATTCCAGGTGGGAGTCTGGTCGCGGGCCCAGAGGGCGGCTGCGCCCCGGCAGGTCCTCCCAAGGACACACGCGGGACAGTGGGAGACGCCAGCGCGGGAGACCTCGTGTCCCGGTTGGGGCCCGCATCCCGACCCCTGCACGCTCACATGCAGGGCCTCCCGTGTGCTGTGTCCCGGGGAGCGTCCATGCGCTGGCGATAAGGGACTCTCTTTGGCTGCCCGGCCAGAGCTCTGCAGGTGCTTTTGAAGATTTTTATTTTAATTCATGAGACACAGAGACGCAGGCAGAGGCGGAAGCAGGCTCCATGCAGGAGCCGGATGCGGGACTCGATCCCGGGACCCCGAGGTTATGCCCTGGGCCGGAGGCAGGTGCTCCACCACTGAGCCACCAAGTGTCCCTCCATGTGGGTCTTTTCGTAATTTCTGTCTCTTTTGATGGCGCGCGATCCTCCTACCTTCTTCTGGTTCTTCAATCATGATTTCGCCTAGTTCCTTGGACATATTTATAATCACTGCTTTGTTGCCTTTGTTAATCCGACATCTGGCGGCTTTCACAAGCACTTTCTGTGGCTTACAGCTTTTTCTGGTGTGTGTCGTTCTTTCCTGTTTCCATATATGTCTCACAATTTTTTTTTTTATTGGAAACTGAGCATTCTGATGATGCACGCAGCCATTCTGGGCACCGCTGGGGCTTGTCGTGGCTCTGCTTGTTGGCGGAGTTTCAGCGAGGCCTGTTGCTGCCCCCGCGGAGGACGGGCAGCCCGCGTGCGCCCCGTGTCATCGGGGGGATGCAGGTCGGGCGCGGCTTCCCGCCTCCCGTCTGGGCATAGCCAGCTGTTGCCACCGATTGCTGGCTGACTGCTCTGCCGCTGTCACCAACGGCCTGGGACACGAACTGTTCCACAGCCTAATCCAATCAAATTTGGGCTTCTTGGTTTTTTTAGAATTTTCTTTCTTTACCCTAGGGAGAGGGAGGGAGGGGAGGTGCAGAGGCGGAGCGGGAGAGACTCAAACAGACCTTGTCCCTAGCGCAGAGTGCGACCTGGGGCTGGATCTCGCGACCTGAGTCAAAACCAAGAGTCAGGGGCCCCCCGCTTGGGCTGCTTCGCACCGATGCTCCCTGGCCCGCGTCGGACATTGCTGTGCCCCCAGGAGGGCTCGTCCCGGGGCTCGCCCGCCCCGGCGGTTCGCCCGCGTCTGCGCGTGTCCCCAGGCTCTCGCCCTTGCCCAGAGCTCCGTCGCCCAGACAGCCATGCCCGAGGGCCTCAGCGTCCCCTGCCCTGGCTCACGTCAGGGGGCCTCGGGGAGGACTCTGGAGGTCGCCACCCCGCAGCCCGCTTCCCCTCCACGCCGGTCTCCGAGCCGCTGCTCTGCAGAGGGGCAGCCCCTGCAGGGGCCGAGCGCGTGCTGCCGGAGGACACGAGCCTCGAGCTTTCTGGAACTCAGCTGGGCCATCGGGAGCGGGCGGAGGGGGCAGGCGGGGGGCGGTGACGCTGCACACCTGCCAGGAAGACCGCCTCGGCCCGGAGCTGGGGGGTCCCCGTGCTCTGGAGTGGGGTTCCCGTCTCGCCGGGCGGCCCGGCAGGCGGGGAGCGGTCCCAGCCCAGACCCCGTAGGGCCTCTCCGCTCGGTCGACCCCACGAGCCCTCCTGAGGACCTGCTCTCCCGGCCGCGTGCCCTGCAGGCCACTTCCGGAGGCTCTGAGCCGAGCCCTCCATGACCGGTGCCCGTTCTGCACGGAAGCGGGTGTGCGAGGCGTCCCAGGCCGTCATGCCGGAGCCCGGCCTGCTTCCCCCCACGTCGATTCACATCCCCTCTGTGCTGGCCAGTGGCCACGCCGGCAGGACTGCGAGCCCAGGGCGGGTGTTCACGCTCCCTGCTCCTGAGGCTCTGCGGCCCCGCCCCTGCCACCGCCGCGCACGTTTACGGATTCAGGTGACCTCTCGTAAGAGCAAGTTTGGGTGATTGGGAGACATTACATGAGGGCAAGTGCCGTCCTTTGATGAGACTCCAAGTAGGAAGTCACTCCCGTGTATCATTCGCAGAGAAACCAGGGAGGCGCCGTAGGTGCCTGTGCACCCGTGCATCTGTGCACCTGTGCACCTGCGTACCTGTGCATCTGTGCACCTGTGCACCTGTGTACCTGTGCATCTGTGCACCTGCGTACCTGTGCATCTGTGCACCTGTGCATCTGCATGCCTGTGCACCTGTGCATCTGTGTACCTGTGCACCTGTGTACCTGTGCATCTGTGCACCTGTGCATCTGTGCACCTGTGCATCTGTGTACCTGTGCATCTGCGTGCCTGTGTACCTGTGCACCTGTGCATCTGTGCACCTGTACACCTGTGTGCCTGTGTACCTGTGCACCTGGGTACCTGTGCACCTGGGTACCTGTGTACCTGTGCACCTGTGCATCTGTGTACCTAAGTACAGGTGCACACAACCCATGGCGCTGGCCGGCCCCGTTGGTGTGAGCTCTTTGACGGATCATCTGGGCTTTGATCTGTGGTCGGAGGGACCCAGGGTGATACTAGGACGTAGTCACCGCCCGATGCTTGAGCCGTGGGAGCCTTAGGAAGACCCCGCCTGAGTGCCCGCTGCCCAGCTTGGGCACCGGGTCAGTCTGGCGCTGCCCCCCAGGTTACCCACAGCGCCCCCGAGTAGCTTTCTCAGGAATTCACTCGCCTGGTGGCCGCTGACCATGGAGCTGTGGGGAGGCGACCCCGGCACCTGCCACCACCTGCTGTCTGGAGGCGAGTCCCGGCCGCACCTGGGCGGACACCTTGCGCGGGAGTTGCCTTCCCCGGAAGTCTTCCCGGCAGCGCCCTCCGAGCTGTCGTGTTCCTGGTCTCTGTACTGTCGGTTAAAGGCTGAGCTGTGGGAAAAAAAAAAAAAAAAGGCTGAGCTGTGGGTCCACCTGGTGGACGGAGCTCCGAGGGCTCCCTGCGAGGCAGCTTGAGTCCTGCTCTCAGGCCCCGTGGGGCTCCTGGCTGTGCTCTGCGGGTGGCTGGGTGGGGTCCGGCTCTGAGGCCACCGCGTTGCTGGGGTGGCGACCCCTTCAGCCACTTGGTCCTCACGGGGAGGGCTGCTCGGCTGCGCCCGAAGCCCCCGGGACGTGCGGCAGGAGCCACCCGGTGGCTGGAAGCCTCGGCCCCTCCTGGTACTGTCCCCCGGGTGGCCGCACGCCCACCCCCCCCCATGCCGCCCTCTTCCATAATCAGGCGTCAGATCTCTTCCTTTAGGAAAATGTACCACTTTATGGGGTTTTTGATTTTTTTAAAGGCTTTTACGTATTTTTTCGAGAGCGTGGACACGTGGTGCCGCTGACCACCGTCCGTCTGTGGCGCGTCCCCGGGTGGCCCTCCGGGACTCTAATCCGCAGCTCGGGGGACGCACCACGGGCCATTGCCGCCGCCTTGTCGCGTGGCTCACCTCTCAGCTTGAGTGCCCGCGGGCCCCTCAGTCGGCGGGACGGGAGGGTTGGGGCCCCGCTCCGTGTCGGGCGCCTGGAGTCAGGCAACAGCAGGACGACGACCCGGGGGACTTGTCACGCAGCCACGTCACATGCACCGGAACAGTGATTTGACCGTAAGCGTGTGAGACGCTCAAGTAACGCAGCTGCTTGGCGAGGCCTGGCCCCCCCCCCCCCCCCGGTCGCCCAGCTCGTAGTCCCCAGGTCAGCTACTTGGAGCGACAGGTGGGCGAACAGATCCCCATTTTTTTTAAAGATTTCATTTATTTATTTTAAGTGGGGGAGGGGCAGAGGGAGAAGCAGACGCCCCGCTGAGCAGGAGCCCACGTGGGGCTCGACCCCAGGACTCCGGGGTCGTGACCTCAGCTGCGAGGCGCACAGACGCTTCGCCACTGAGCCACCAGGCCCCGGATTCCTGTTTCTATTCTCATGGGTCTTCACGGAGATGCTATTAGGTGTGCAGGCGCCCAGGATGGGCGGCGATACCATGACACCGCTTCTGGAAGCCCCATCCCTCCTCGCGGTGACTCTATGAGGTCGCTGTGCGGTGTGGGTACGACCCTGCGTGGCCGCCGGGTCCCGGGAGCTACCGTGCACGGCTCCGCGTGTCGCAGGCCAACCCTGGGTCAGGGTGCCGTTGGCAGAGTTGCCTTACGTGGAGAAGCAGCAAGCGCCCGGTCTGGTCCCCGCCACCCGACCCTGCCCCACCAGGTCTTCACGGACGGGGGAGCAGCAGGCGTGGGCGGGGGGGGGGGCCTCCGCCCCAGCTCCGACTCCGACTTCTCTCGAACGCAGCACCTGCTTTGCTTTCAGCTTCTCCCTTGTACCAGATGGAGAGCGATTCCAGGATTTGCTGACCACGTAGGTCCATCGGCGCCTGTGTCCGTGGATGACGGAAACCCCCTCACCGAGTTAGGATCCTCTTCTGAGTCTTAGATTTTTGAAAATCCAGACTCTCCCGTCGATTTGGGATCGTTATTTTCTTTTGCTGTATCCGTGAAAACGGACTTAGAATTTACCCCTCTTGGGTCCGAATCGTCCTAACCGTGTTTCGGTTTCATTTAACTTCCAGGTTCGGTGACGGTTACACGGTCAGGATCTGGCTGTGTCAGGAAACACACGCACACGGTGCGATTTCGGACTGCCTGAAGCTGCACTTCCCTGGGATCCAGTTTAAGGTAGGCCGGCGTTCCGTATTCACTTCCTTATGGGGAAGTTGGGTCAGCGCCTTTGTCCTTTCCCGTGTTCTGCCCCGTGCTGTTACGAGGTGCTGCCTGCCCTGGGCCTGATGGCGAAGCACAGGCCGCACGTCCCCGCGGCCCCGGAATAGCGCGGACAGCAGATACGCTTGGCCACTCGGAAGGACGGCGCCTGTCTGAGCGCTCTGTGGGTGCCCCAGAGTGGACCGTGGGTACAGGCCCCCCGCTCTCCGGGGGCACAGCCCCATTGCACGGCCTGTTCTGTTCAGGAAAGAAGATCGCAAAAGGCAGTGTCTTCCAGGCATTTGCCGTAGGGCTCACAGACTTGGAGGCTCCCGCGTTATCTCACAGGGAGCGCGCTGTGCTCGGCATCGTAGTCCCCGGCTGACCCGAGGCAGAGCGCGATCCCTGACGTAGCAGCATCTCCATCAGCGGGGAGCTGGTTACACCTACGGGACCTCGAGCCCCAACCTACTGAACTCAGCTCTGCGTTTAAGGAGGCGACCCGGTGATTCCCAGCGTGCTAACATTTTAGAAGCAGCAGCTACAGTATCTTGGATAACTACGTGATTGCGGTTTTCCAGAAATAGGTTCTCACGTGTGAGGCAGCTCTCACCTGTCCATTCCCGCAAGAGCTGCTGAGCAAAAGCCATCGATGAGCAGCAGCCGTACGAGGCCAGGCGTGCGTGCTCAGGCTCTCCTCTAAACGGTCCGATAGCGGACTTGCTGTTCTCCCCCTTTGCACATATGAAAACGAGGGTTGGAACGTTTCTTCTCTTCCCAGGGGTGAGGACAGCGGGAGCTCTGCTCCTGACCCAGGGCGTTCAGGTGCCCCTGCATCCCCTTGCTCCACGACAACTTCCTCCTTCTCAGTAGGCGAGGCACCTTCCTACCCCCGGGACGGCTTCCCCACAGCGGGGGCAGGGCAGGGGTGGGGGGCATGCGAGGGGGCAAAGCGGCAGCCCAGCCTTGAGGAGGACCCCTTGCCAACTGTGCCGTCGTCCGTACGCACGGACTGGAGACTCTCAGAGCTGTCCTGCCATCCGCTGCCCTTTAGGTGTGTGGTTTGAAAAGGATGACAATGCATTTATCACTTAAAAGCCGCAGGATCCGTTCTGCTCAACAGTTGCTAATCACGTGAGACGATTTACAAGTTGTTTTTGGCTTTCAGGGGCAGCACCTTAACTTACTGGAATATCATTTGCCAAAACAATGGGAGTGCTTAGCGGATCTGTTCCGAGTCCTAGAGAACCACAAGACCTTCCTGAATATCAAACATTACTCCATTAGCCAGACCACTTTGGAACAGGTATGGTCCCCCCACCCCCGAATACTTTGGCAGGTTGCATTTTGGCGTGTTCTCGAGGCCTCCCCCAGCTGATCTCAAAACTAGCCAGATTGCTTCGTGAGGCCTTTCGTTCTTTAAATTAAATGCTCATTTTACAAAATAGGGTGGTGGGTGTTAGCAGGTGTGTCTGTGGTCAGCTCTCTGTTCAAGGTGCATATTCAGGAGGGCTCCCGTCTGTCCACGGTTACGCTGGGCATTCATGCCCCACCAACCTGCCCCTATGTGTTTGCTCCCCCCGCCCTAAATGTCTAAGGGGACTCTGCCCCTTGGCTGAGCCATCGCTGACCTTGGGAAGCAAAGTGCTTGGTTTACCGAGTTCCAGAAGGGAGAATGAAATCCCACCTGCGTCCTAAAGCCCCAGAATTTCCAGGTGCTTTCATGATTGTCCTCAAATGGATCTGTGTCCTCAAAGGATCCACCTGCTTATGGTGGTTTCCGAGGCGGTGGTATGAGCGACAGCTTTATGGTTTTCGGGAAAAGTTGGGCGGTGCTTTGAGATGACTCTTCTTACTATAGTGGAGAAGAGAAGGTCTGGTGTCCGTAGAGGTTCACAGTGATTTCCGTCATTTCATTCAGGTATTTATTAAGTTTGCTGCTGAGCAACGGGAACCTTCACAGTCTACTCCGGCTGCACCTCCTGACTCCTACCAGCACCATCACCTGCCTATCTAAGCTCCGAGGGCACGTGTCCAAGAGGAGTGATACCCTCTTTGGTTACAATTCGTCCTCAAAGATCAGAAGAGCCTGGGCACCGCGGAGATGCTGGGAGTCCGCTCCAGGCAGTCGAATCCACCCTCTCCTTCCTTTCCTCTTGAAACTCTCAGTTAACGGGTAACCCGCAAGCTGGAAGATGGTTTTCTGTAGATTTTTGGGGTGTTCCTCCCACATGGCTAATCCCTTTGTCAAACCAGGGAGGAGCCGGCTTCTTTGTGACGGGGGGCATGAGTCACCCCAGAGTCTAAACCGAGACATGTTGGAGCTGTCAGACACATTTCACTGTGCTTTTAAGGAAACTGAGGCAGCCAAGGCTGGTAACTTTCCTAACCGATCTGTTTAGGAAATACTACCTCCGACTGTCTTCTGTTTCTGTCCCCTTTCACTAGATAGGCTTACGTGTGTTTAAATAAAAGGTCAAGGATTGAAACACACATTCTTTGTAATATTGGGTATTATATGGCATGACATGTAAAAATAGCCATTTTTTTCATACAAAAGATTTTTTAAAAAAAATCAGAATTATGGAGATTTTAATGACTGCTGTAGCAAAATTAAGTAAATTGAACCAGGTACCCTCTGTCACTTACACAAGTTTTACCCAAAATTCACAGATTTTTAAATACGGGGGTTATGGAAAGAAATATAACATGGGTGTGTTTTACTTTTTTCTGGGTTTCTCAGTGTTCTTACTGCCTCCTGGCATTCTGAGCCACATTCTAGTTTCAAGACCAATGACGTAAACTAGTTACTTCTAATTTTACCAGCAAAATCAGTACAATGTGTAGTAAGTAAACATAAATCTTCAAACACTTAAAAATTTTCTGACAGTGACGCCAGCCTTAGAATTATTGTGCTAGTGTTTTCAGATATAAAGCTCTGTGATGCGGCTGCAAAGGGCCGTGGGCCCTTGACATTCTGCACCTGACGGCAAAATGCGATATGATAAATAATAAAATCATTTTAAATGATAAAAAGTCCTTTTGTCCACCACTGAAAATCGTTTCTAGCCAGGCGTTCCTGAGCTTTGAGATATTCCTCAACCTCCTTTGGATATTATTTCCCTCAAATTTCAGCGGAGGGGTGCGTCAATTTTAAAATTCGATCTTAAAAATAAAAATAAAATAAAATTTGATCTTATCCAGTTAATTTTTTGAGTCATAGTAGCTCATGGCCAAAAAGTTTCCAGCCACAGGATTTCACTGAAATCTCTCTTTTCTGATGCCATTCAATACTAAACATATTTTTAACTTGTCAGGCTTCAGCCAGTCACGGAGAGTATTGCTGAATGATTTCGATTCACAGGAATCCCATGAATTATGCTTTCTTAAAGTTTAGGGTTTAGGATTTCTTACAGCTGAGGGTTTAGGATTCCCCCCTTGATTCTGACATGGTCTCACTGTCAAATGGAAGATGTAATCCTTTGTTATGATTGTTGCTGAATCCATCCATAAAACCCCTGCGACACAGGAATGTGTTTATACTGCTTTGTAAATACGAGCATAAATAAACGAGACGGGCTTTGATTGAACCGGATTTTTGGAGCGACCTTGCGTATTTCCTTGCATTGTCAGGGGTCCCCGTTAGCCGATCGGGGAGGAAATGTACCTACTCAAGAGCTTTTAAAGCTTGAAAAGGTCACCGTTTGATTGAGCTTCAGGCCGCGATGTTCTGCTCTTAGGGATTCTTTTCTACTCTTGGAGCCGCTTTATTCTTGAAGGTTCTGCTTCCAGGTAGACCTTTGAACAATAAACAGGAAGAAAAAAGAAACTCACTGTGTGAAAACGCCCCAGACGACTGGACAGGAAAGGTCAAATCTTATGTTGGTGTTGAAAATGTCATCGCATTCATAAGTCATGCAGATGTTTTACGCCTTTGGAGTTAAACATTTGCCTTAAGACCTTTGGGCTTGTGGTCACACAACTGAGACTGTTAAACAAACTGCCTTCTTTTGAGAGCTTTCGGAGGAGAGTCCTGCCTAAGGCAGAGATCGCCGTGATTATCCCGGTTCCAGCAACCCAGCTTTTATGGCATGGCTTATCTTTACCCGGATATTTAAACAGAGGGTGTATTAAAGCCTCGTGCACAATCAGGATTGGAAAAGGCAAACAAGAAGCGTATTTTTAGAAGAGTAAACAGTGGGGAGCCTAAGGTTACAGGGGGCTCGGCTCAGCGGATGTTGAACGGGGAAACACGCAACACGATGGCTCTCTAACCCTTCGGGAAGTGTACTCCGTCCCCCGCCCTCCCCTGCTACTTGGTGTTCATACAACGGCGACGACAGTGACCGGACTACTTTAGCTGCATCACAGAGTTCCACGCCCCCTCCTCCCCCACCGAATACGGGATGCAGACATTTAACCTGTTCAGACTGGTTTGGGCATGTTTTCGTCCGGCTTTGCTGTGGGACGTTGGGGTGTTTCAGCTCGATGATGTAGGCTGGTGGTGCCTGACAACCCAGTTTCTCATACTCCAGTGATTCAAAGCCACACACACACACACACACACACACACGCACGCACACGCGCGCGCATTCTTTCAATTCATACTATTGAGCCCATTGTATGTGCATAAATAGATGATGGTTATGGCAAACATGAGGGTGGTACCTGGCAGGTAAAGGACCCAGAGTCTGTGTGTCCTTGGGAAGCAGGGGGTTACATGGGGAGGACTGGACGAGACCTTCAGGTAACAGGCACCGCTTGCTGTGGGGCCTCGGCTGGGTGCCTTCTAAGCAAGGGTGCAGGATCCAGCCTCATGAAAGGGTTACACCCTGGGGCATGAGGAAGCCCTTGGAGGGGAGGGAATGTCGGAGGGAATCCACAATATTCAAGACGCAGTGGACATTTGCCTGTTTGTCTGGTGGAGGCTGATACAGCAGTTCCATAGACCCAAAAACCCCAGTCAACCATCTTTACAGTCTCCCTTATGTTCCAAAGTGGCTGCTCGAGCACCAGCTATCACAATATTTTCAAAGCAGAAAAACACAACACAACACAACAAAACAAAATAAAACAAAAACATGACTGTGTTGTGCCCAAGATTGCGAATCCAAGAAACCACCAAGGAGCTGACACCGATGCAAGTACACAAGGGTTTATTTACAAGCTCAAGCTTGGGTCCAAGTGAACCCGATAGAGCAGAGCCGGGACTTGGACCCCGAAGTGGGTTACAGCTGGGTTTTTTATGGGCTGGTCTAGGGGATCTTCAGAAGGGGTGGAGGAATTTTTTCCATCCCTATATGGCGGAAAAGGGTGGGGGAGTTTCTTAAGATCTGATCTGGGATTCTCTGCCAAGGGCAATTCTGAGCTTTATTGTCTCTGATATGGGATTCCCTGGCCTAGGACATTCTGCAGTTTTTCCTGTAAAGCTCAGCTCTTATTCCCAGGGGCCTAAGACGGCTGTACTTGTGCTAATGCTAAACTTGAGGTGGAATGGCCTTAATTTTTCTCGGCCTCCACAACTGGATTAAGCTGGGGGCGGGGGGCGGGGGGACGCCATTTAAAGATGCCTAACCCACATGGTCAGGCTTCGAGGACGTCACCGTGCAGTTTTTACGGAGTCCCTAAAGTGACACGAGAGTTCTATTCTATGCAAGAACGAAATGGATACTGGATGGACGGCCAGCGGCCTCTACTCCAGGATCACAGAACAGGTTGTGTGCCATTTGCATGAGGATAGAGTAAAATCAGTTTGGGGCACATCGAGGCAAACAATGGGACTGTCTTTGGGAAGTCTGAGCTCTGAAGATCGTTTCTACTCCCAGAGTCGAAGCGACGTGTGGACCCCCAGGCCCGGTGCCATCTGTGTGTCTCGAGACGTCACGCAGAATGCAGTAGCCGAGGGGGAGAAAGAGGTTTATGGATATTTTCTGTTTGGAGTCAGTAAATAGCCCTGTCACTTACTCGTAAGGGGGAATTCCTTTAAGAGTCTTAATAGATCTTTTTTTTTTTTTTTTCCTTGCCGGAAAGGGCTTCAAATTGCTGAAAGAAGTCAGAACCGTTTCTTCTTACTTACTTGCTTTTGCTTGTCATCGTAAAAGAAGCGCTTCGCTCCCTTATCAGCAAATCCATCACATTTTTCTTTACATGTGAGCGTTTTGTGGAAAAATGGGGCCCACGGAGGGACACGTACATCTCAAACCTGGCAGGTGTCCTCGCTTAAAAGACGCATCTGGAAATATCAGGAGCGTATCTTTTTTTTAAACAGAAGGGGATGGGGCGCCTGGGTGGCCCCGTCGGTGACGTTCCTGGCTTCGGCTCAGGTCATGATCTCAGGGTCCTGGGATCCCTGCTCGGTGGGGCGTCTGCTTCTCGCTCCCTGTGCCCCTGCTCTTGCTCGCTCTCTGTCAAATAAATAATAAATAAAATCTTCAAAAAAAAGAATACAGAAATGGAAGGGAGGGCTGTGAACGCCGCATTTGCTGCAGCACTTACTTCTGGTGCACGCGGCTTTGCGGTGCTGAATCTCACCTGTTACCAAGCTGAGGTGGTCTTTTCTCTGGTTCTTGCTTTTGTCCCTGAGAAACTGGGAAGCAGCTTCCGCTCAACCCTCGCGGGGTGTCATGGCGGTGACGAGTCCTCGGTGACCCTACTCGTCCCTACCCTGCCCCCGTGTAGTCACAGGAAAACTTCTTTTGCCCCGACATGAATTTCCCCGAGTCAGGGTTACAGATGAGGGCAAGACAGCAGGGCAGGCGAAGGCCGCTGGCCGCGCGTCAGGAGACCCGGCTGGACCTCAGCTCCACCGGGATCTTGCCTCCTGTCTCTCCAGCTTCCCTTTCCTTCACTTTTGCGATCAGGGTGAGATCTCCAAACAGCCTAGTGAGATCAGCAAACCTTGTTGTGCCTGAATCTACGATATTAGCCAAGAAGGCAGAACAGATCTTTCCGTAGAAATGTGACGTAAGACGATAACACGAAACGCTTTCTGCTGATTATTTCAAGATCGATGAAGTGGACGATGTTTTTCGGAAACCGTTATCGACCAAGGTTGTGTTAAGGAAGCACCAGCCACACTGGAAAACGAATGGGTCCCGCGGGTCGTCCCCCGCCTTTAGCTCCCGGGGAGGCAGGGGGCCCAGGGGCTTCAGGCTCACGCCCCGGGGGTTCAACACCAGCTCCTACAACTTTGTAGGAAATAAGGAGAGAATCGCCATCCACCTTGGTTGATGCCGGCTTGGCCTTGGCACAAGACGTTGTCCACGAGCAGAGGTCAAGCAGGTTGGGAACAACTTCAGGTCCCAGCACAGATACAGGAATATCGGTCAATGGACCCCGCTGTGCACTCATAGTAAGTAAGTAATGTGGCTCATAATCGGTACGATTTATCGGGATGGCGATGGTGGTTCCACGCGAGAAACTTAACGCAACCCACTGCGTTCAAAGGTAGGAACGTGGGCAGCCCGGGTGGCTCAGCGGTTAGCGCCGCCTTCAGCCCAGGGCATGATCCTGGAGACCGGGGATCGAGTCCCGCGTTGGGCTCCCTGCATGGGGCCTGCTCCTCCCTCTGCCTGTGTCTCTGCCTCTCTCTGTGTGTCTCTAACTAATAAATAAAATTTTAAAAAACCTTAAAAAAAAAAAAAAAGGTAAGAACGTGAATCGTCCGAAATGCAGACAAGATGTCTCATGAAATCCATGATAAAATATATTAGAAAACCCGTAGAGGTTCAGATTGACATTGCCAGTGACTCTCCAAGATCTGCCAAGACCTATCCACACCTACGTATGCAGTGCTGACGGCTGCTTGTGTGGCTCTGCGGAAAGACTCGACCCTCCCCTGGGGACCGTGCCCTTCGGGTCCTTCCCCTGTTGTCTCTCTTGGCACCGGGTCCTCTCCTGTGTCCTCGCAGGAGCGGCCTGTCTGTGCTGACTGGGCGCCAGCTCCCGCCTCCTGACCCGTGGCTGAGTCTCTGCAGCCTGCACTGCTCCCCACCCCCGCCCCCTGACCTCAGGGCCCCCCTCCTCATGCCACCAGAAAGCCCTGGCCGGGCCCAGCAAGGAAGAGGCTGCACTCAGTCGGGAGCAGCCCACGGACTGAGCTCTCCGACGCGGTGGCTTTTATTCCATGGAAACCATGATTCAGTGCTTCTCTGGTTGGTTTCCGGGCTCCAGGCTCCCCCTCTGCCGGCGTAGCCCCGTGACGGCTGTGGCTGGTTTCCTCCGCTGCTCGCTCACCTCCCAAGGGGCCACAGCCCTGCTGCACTGTCTCCGCCAAACCTCAGCCCCGCGGAGTCTTGCCTGCAACCACCTGCTTTCTACTTTGATGGCGGCTGGGATTGCACAGGTAAGGCCTCAGGTGCCACTCTTTGCTTAAAAAAAAGAGATTGTATTTATTTATTCACGAGAGACACACAGAGAGGCAGAGACCCAGGCAGAGGGAGATGCAGGCTCTGTGCAAGGAGCCCAACGTGGGACTCGATCCCAGGACCCCGGGGTCACACCCTGGGCCCAAGGCAGATGCTCAAACGCTGAGCCACCCGGGTGCCCCCTCTTTTTTAAGAGAGAGCGAGCAAGCAGGAGAGGCAGAGGGCGAGG